ATTTATCTAATGGCTTTCTTCAGTGGAATGTGGAAGGAAATACATTTCTTGAGTCAAGAAACACTTCTCTACCATTTGCCTACTCTCAGCTGGGTCTTTCTCCTTTCTACCCTCTTAAATTGGAGAATATTGGTCTTCTGGTTCTAAGAGAGTATTAGAGAGCCAGGGTAAGCTGTGAGTGAAGACATGAAACTAGAAGAGGGGGAGAATGCAGTAATATTTTATGATTGTGTGGCATTGTCTCAGGCACAGTTGGAAAGTTCAACAGTGTTCGTAGGCTGTCTGGGGGTATCTAACCTCAGGCTGACCTAGTATGCCTGCATATGATAGAACCATGGACTCTCTGAGTTGGAAAGAATTCATGTTAAAAGGTACTAAAGTTTTCTGAACCCCAAATCATACATCATTTGGGGTACGCAAGAGAGGATTGACAGAGAATATTTCAAATATGGAATCTCCTGGTATCTTGTCCCAATCTTCTTTTCAATGTGTAAATTTAAGTGCTTTTTAGGCTGGGAATGTGTCAATTTAATTTTTAAAAAGTAGTCCCGGGTATAGAAATAAAACAAAACATAAGGGATATGACAAGATGAAAACAGGGATACACTTGCAATATACTTAAAGAGTGGGTAATGGAAAAGAATATCAGTTGCAGGCTATGAGAAATCACTCATTTCCTCTAGTCCTGCTGAAATGGAGCCTTCATATTTCTCGAGGACCTAGACTTGCTATCTCTGAACAGCTCTAATGGGAACCGTCCATCATGTGGTCTTCAGCATGCAGTCTCTCATTGATGGCTATCTGGACCTCAACATAGTACTCTATATTGATTTTCTCCAGCTACATGGTTATACTTTTGGATTCAATATGCCTCTCCCTCTCCAATCACTTGATGGGCAGCCAAGGAATGCACTTTGACAATAGCACTGGCAAATATGATTAGAAAGGTAACTCTGGGGGAAGAATTATTTTTAAACACATTACTAAATTGAGTAAATATTATTTATAAATATTTCTCCTCTTTAAAATAGTGATTCTCCACCCAGTACACCAAATCAACTTTAGGTAATAAATACTTTGCAATGCTTCCTTTATGCTTGTGAAATACAAACTCAGGATAATGTTACCTTCCTATACACTTAATTTAAAAAAATAATGTGCCCTGAGTATGAAATATAAATGTAAGAAAAGTAATTTCTAATAAAAAATATTTATTTTAATGGGTGAATCTGGGAGACATAATGTTAGGAGACATAATGAAGTGACCAGATGTTTGCCATCGTCTATAGAACCACTACAAATGCAACTGCTACAAATGTACACTCACGTAGATGTGCTGTGTGGTGTTCAAAGACCATGAGTCATGTTGCTGTGGATGATGTAGTTTTTCCAGAATGATGGCCAACTCTTGGTAAATTCCAAACAAAACAAATTACAACTGTCCCTCCATTTACCCCATTGTTGTAGTCCTGGAAAACTCTCTGTTGATAAAGCCGTGGAAAAATGCTTTGTGTTAATATGCAAAATGGAGGTAGATTCAGAAATAATAAACAGGTTTTTACTTGCATGATTGCCCATTGGCTTCTTCAGAAGTCATGTGAGACATGGGACCATGCTTCATTCTGTGGGACAGTCCCACACGTGGCACAATGTCTAACAGCCCAGTCCTCTGACCATCTAATGCAGCTTGTGCCCACAATTATCATGAGAACCACAGACACTCCTACAGATTTCCAGAATTCAAACCCGAGGAGGCAGTACCTTTGCTGAGGACCATTGGTTTGAAGAATTTTCTACAGAGCTTCCCCAATGACCCAGATTCCAGCTGTGAAACCAAAGAATGATAGAACTAGAAGCTACCTTAAATCTTCTCTAACTGCCCCCTCATTTTTATCCATGTGAGGTAAGTGACTTGCTCTTGGACACCCAGTTATTAGGATAGAAAACCAAGATTACCCTGTCAGCACTTTTTAAAAATTTCTTGTTGAATAGAAAGATACCCTTGAATTTGTCTCTTTACACATCAGGTACTTGAAAATAGATAAATGACACAACATTTTCCAGTTTTTAACAGGATATTTGGGGTGAAATCACTCACTTCTCACCCCTGAGTTTCAGTACCAGCTGTGATACTCTCTACTGCCCACTACAAGCCTGGATTCCTGCAGACACATAAATGAGAAAGGTTAAAAATATTATCAATTCCCTTACAGTGTGCTCAAAGGTACGATTGTTGAGAGCAGAAATTGTCTTACACGGTTAGTGGTTAATTGATTTTCTCGCCATTCTCCCCAACCTCCAGTCACCAGAATCCAAGCAGGAGCTTGGGAAATGAATGGCTAAGATTCCATATGCTCCTGCACTGTGCACAGCCTGACTTAGGACAGTAAGGGGCTGGTCCCTTCCTAAGACCTAGTGAAGTCTTAGCTATCCGGTTCTGATGATGAACTGAGTGTTTTAAAATTTGATTTGGCAGATCAGATATTAAGTAGAAACTGTTAGATTGCACAATACTGGATCCCCAAATTACATTTTCAAACTGAGCCTGTTTCAAAAGTATTGCTTGGAGGGAAAAAACCACAAAAGTTTATAAGCCTTATATATTATGAGGAGGTAAAAATAGGTGGAGAGAAGACATTCATAGCATATAAATGTGGATCCTACATCAAAGAGGAGCAGTTACTTGCTTCCTAGTCCTTCCTTGAGCTGCACTAAAGAACAGTCTACTCAGTAATGTGCCAACTCAGCTCTCTTCAGGAGAAAACACAAAAATCCTTCAAGCAAGAAAGTCTCATTAGGTCCTCATACTTGGTGCTTATACACCCTACAATTTCCTCATGGAAGAGTTCCTCAGGTCTTCTTTCCAAGACCACATCCTCTTAATTTTAGACTCCCTCCAACAATTCAAACATTGGGTGTTAGAAGCAGCAATTTAGAAAGGAGGAGGTTTGACTGCTCAGGGTGAGCCCTGTGACAGCAACAGAGAGAAATAACTGACAGTCCAGGAAAAAGATGGAAAATTGTTTTTACAAAGTGAGGGAGGGGGGCTGACACAGGAACTCAAAGTAAATAGCAGCCTGAGCCATGTAATATAGGCACAGATGGCTTTGCTAGCCCTGAGAGCATCTCCATAATACAGAACAACATAGTAACGGACATAAAAGAAAACTTAGGTTATGCTCAATATATTTTGCAGCAAAAATTCAATCCTAGAGTAACGGAGAAGGGAGATCCTTCAGAGGGCATCCCAGTCCCATTCCTTTATTTTACAAAGGAGGAAACTGAAAGTAAAAGGTGGAACAGGTTCGAGGTAGACAACAGCACAGCCCTTCTGATCCAGGGCTCCTTCCATATGGACACCCTGACAACTGACATCACTGAGAGGAAGGAAAAGCGACATTACATCGCATGGCATCATTCAGTGTGTCATTGCTTCTGACATTTGTTTTTGCTTCTCTGCATTGATTTCTCCCCGCTTCCAAAGGAAAAGAAACCTGCTCTCTTTATTCACAAAAGAGTGAACTCTTGTTCCCTGATTTGTGAAGAGAGAGCTTCAGGGTTGGCCCTTAACAAATTGGGACTGGAGGTGAAGTTTACTTGGAGTTCCCTCTGACATCCTCCTCATCCCATTCCTGCTGTGTTCCTCCAAGCTGTCCTACATTTGTCCTCCAACTTGGCACCTCAGCCACTGGCCCCACATCAGGAGCTCCTGCACAGTGTAGGAAACTCTCCCACCTCCCAAAAGTCTGATGTATCCCCAGCCTCCTTCTAATTTGATCTCTAATTCCATTAAACAAAGAATGGGGCAATGTACCGACGTTTTTCAAAAATAGGTGGGGAGTGCCCAGCCAACATGGCTCAGTGGTTGAGCGTCAATCTATGATCCAGGAGGTCACACTTCAATTCCTGGTCATGGCACATGCCCGGGTTGTAGGCTCTATGCCCTGTGGGTGGCATGCAGGAGGCAGCCAATCAATGATTCTGTCTCATCATTGACGTTTCTATCTCTCTCTCCCTCTCTCTTCCTCTCTGAAATCAATTTTAAAAATTTTCTTTAAAAAAGTAAGTGGGGAGCTGGTTAAAATACAGGTTCCTGGTCCCCATATCCTGAAATTATGATTCCATAGATGATTCTGGTGGAGTGGGCCCTGACCCTCCCAGCTGCCCGCCTGCACGTTCCCCACCATCCAAATACTTCAAACTATCTCTCTCTGCCATGTCTTTACCTCATATAACACCTTCTTTTTCCAATTAACTCCTCCATATTTCTCAAAACCAGCTAATGTAGATGTCTCTGATCTTTGCTCTCATTCCTGTGTGTTTCTATATCACTGAGCTTTTCCAACCTACCATGATTTTCTGGTACATCTCCCCTTGAGGGCAAGGCCTCATCTCACTTGTGTGTGTGTTTTTATTGCCAGCAGCCCAACAGGCACATAGTAGGCACTCTAAAACTGTTCATTAAATTATCTTTTGCATGTGGTCAATTTCCTTGTTAATAACTAGTCACTTATTTACATTTGAATATTTTATCAGTCCCCTAGATATAGTACAAGATGTTCACAAATCACTCAAAGTATCACTCTCCAATGAGATGCATCTTCTGCAAGATGTAAAAATGAAACAGAAGAATTTTACACATAATCTAACCCTGGTGCCAACAGCTGTAGGGTCATAATGAGTTAGGTCCATATTCACTCAGGATATCTGACACCTATGAACAGTGACAGAGACCCATACAACAAACAGGGACCGTTCCAAATGAAGATCAGCTTCTAACAGTTCCTTAGAATTCGTTCTGATTGCCTTCCAGGCATTCAGGTTAAAAATTTTTCAGAAGGGAGGTTGGGAAACATTACTGGCTTTGAATTGGTTCATACACATAAAGCTCTGTGTATGTGCTCTTCAATCCCAGAGATTCCCGGTATTTCCTACCCAACATCGTAAGCCACCAAGAGGTTTGCTCACCTCCTACCACCGGTGTGTTTTGTCCCATGCAGGTGTTTGCTATGCAGAGTTCGGGGTCCGTGTCCCGAAGACCACGGGGTCGGCCTACACCTACAGCTATGTCACTGTGGGGGAGTTTGTGGCATTTTTCATCGGCTGGAACCTGATCCTGGAATACCTGATTGGCACTGCGGCCGGTGCCAGCGCCCTGAGCAGCATGTTTGACTCGCTGGCAAACCACACGTTCAGCCGCTGGATGGTGAACAGCGTGGGGACCCTCAATGGCCTGGGTAAGACCACCACCCCTCTCACCTCAACATGCAAACTTTCTGAGCCAAATAAATGGGTTCTCCTTTCAGGACTCAACTTGGTAAAATGTATCAATAGCCTTAAATATGTGTTTGTTTGCTTTAGAGAGAGAGAGAGAGAAAGAGAGGGAGAGAGAGAGAGAGAGAGAGAGTGTGTGTGTGTGTGTGTGTGTGTGTGTGTGGTGTTGTTGTTGCTGTTGTTGTTTTTGCAAAGTAATTCTTTTCCTGCGAATCTATCCTAAGGAAATCAGTCTAATTTCCATAAAGCTTTCGACAGAAAGATGTTCATCACAGCCTTATTTATAATAACAAAATTAATTAGAAACAGCCTAAATATTCTACAGTGGAGCAAATGGCTAAGTAAATCATGGAAACATACTATGTAGTTAGAAAATAAAAGAAAGACTAGCAAAACTGTTGTAACAACATGGAATGTTTTTAATGTAATGGCATGTGACAAAGGATGCAAATCATACATGTATCATGTTAATAAATACATAACAATAAAACAAATCATGTAAGAAGAACTGTCAGAAACTTCTCCATTGGCTTCCTCAGAAGATTTTTAAATTTTTCATAAATAAGCATGTATTAATATTTAAATGAGTAAAAAAATTAATATATTTATAAAATGGAACAAGATGGATTCAGTCTAGCAGAGGTCAAGGATGGCAATGGAACGGAGTGAATACTAAATGATGAGAAGCTCACGGAGCAAATACCTTGAGACTTCAGGCTCTATAACTTGCCTCCCACTTTCCATGCTGATGTCTGACTTTACGCTTTCACATTCATGGGAGGCTAAACATTAGTTGTGGAAACTTTGGGGTCCTGCCCCAGAACTTTGAGGGACTAATTATGAGGCTGTGTACAAGTCCTTTAACTTTGGTGTCTCTATCTGAGAAGAAGTGACAAAAATGCTGAGTATCCAGATACCAGGAGAAGATAAAAATGTATGAAGACCACATCTCCTCAGTACACTAATTTCATAGAATTTTAAGTCTGCATGGGTCCTCCAGCATCAGGGAGTCCAATCCCTTAACTTCACAGGGAGGTCCAGAGGAGTGAGGCACTTGCCCAGAGTCAGTCAGTCCTGGCTTTGGGTCCTGGGTGCTTACTTACACTGTGTACTTAATAGCAATTTAATTTAACTTGACCTCTCTGGTTACAGGCAAAAGTGCAGCTGAAATTCAGGAGCCTGACTGCTGAGGCAGTGCCTTTTCCACTCCATAGAGGGCAGGAGTCCACTGGCCAATGGACAAGACCTTGAAGGCTGTCCACTGGTCATTTTCTCTGCAGCCACTTACACATAAATGGAAAGAACACCTTTCTTCCAATAGTTTTCAAAGACACACATTTTAAATTTTTCTAATGATGAAAAAAAATTGCTGGAATGGAAAGCAAAATTCATGACTATAAAGTGAACAAAAATGAAGATAAAACAATTTTCAAGTAACATGTTAGACCTATGTATACATCCTAAATATCCCAGGATAGTCCTAACTTCAAATGTTCTGTGCCATGATTCCATAGGACTCTTGTAACTGTCATATCATGTATCCCAATTTGGGGTCGAGGATATCATGTTATTTTGTCTATATACCAAAACCTTCCCATTTGCAAATAGACACTTGTAGACTACAGTGTAGTCACACACATGCGCACGTACACACACACACACACACACACACACACACACACACAGCATTTCTTCTCCCTCTGTGACAATCTGACCACCCCTCTCAGAGCTGAGTGCCGATGCCCTGGGGAGGGGCTGGGAGTTTGCATGGCCTTTTTTCCCTCTGGACAATATTAACTCATGTCTTTCCCCTCTAGGGAAAGGTGAGGAATCCTACCCAGACCTTCTGGCTCTGGTGATCGCGGTCATCGTCACCATCATCGTCTCGCTGGGGGTGAAGAACTCTGTGGGCTTCAACAACGTGCTCAATGTGCTGAACCTGGCAGTGTGGGTGTTCATCATGATTGCAGGCCTCTTCTTCGTCAATGGGAAGTACTGGGCTGAGGGCCAGTTCTTGCCCCACGGCTGGTCAGGGGTGAGTTCATTCCTACATCCCTAGGTACTTCTCCCATGCTCTGCCTTCCACCCCGTGATGAGTCTAAGACGTATTTTAGGGAAAATGCTGCTGTGTCTCATAATCTTCATGCCACCCTCTTCATCACCTTTCACTGGAATGTTCTGAAGAAGTAGCTCTCATTTTATTTTGTTTCATAAACATTTATTAAAATCCAATTTTATAGATAATTAATAGATTTGTTGTGTTGGTCCCTTGCAATATACCTAATACTAAGTGCTTTGCATGTAATATTTTATTTAATCTTCCTAATAACTATGCAAGGAAATATTTACATTCTGGTCTTTCAGGTGAAAAAACTCACACTCAGAGAGGTCAAATGACTTGCTATTAAGCATACAGTGTAGGTAAGCACAAAGGACCCAAAGCCAGGACTGCCTGACTCCAAAACCTGTAGAATCTCTCTATAGTTTATTTAGATGACAGACAGTCCATCAATAAACAAGGCAGTAACAAAGGCCAGGAGAGGGACGGGTGGGAAAGAGATTAGTGTTTCTTGGGTATGGAACTAGGGAACAAACAGTTTTTTGTTGTTGTTCTTTTTTTTCTTTTCTTATCTTTTTCCTTTTTTAATCCTCACCCAAGGACATTTATTTTATTGATTTTAGAAAGAGGGGAAGGAGAGGGAGCGGGAGGGAGAGAGAGAGAGAGAAAAACATAGTTGTGAGACAGAAATATCCATCGGTCGCCTCCCGCACATGCCCCAACCAGGGATTGAACCCACAACCTGGGTATGCACCCTGATCAGGAATCAAACCCTCAACCCCTCAGACGATGATTCAACCAACTGAGCCACACTAGTCAGGACAGGAACAGTTTTTAAATCTAATCCCCACATTTGACCCAAAGTGGATAGTCCTCTGGGGTCTGAGGGCAGTTGAGTGGGCCCATGGTACAGTTTATAAATTCCATTCCACTGCACGGTTCACACAGAGAAATCCACCTGGTGTGGTCTGGGGGTTGGCAAGACAGTAGGCTAGACCAAAAGGACGTGTTCAGATCTCACCCCTGTGACAAGTAGTTCTAAGTTGCACCTGGATTTTTTCTCTAGGATAACTAAAAAAAATGTTTACTTTATGGGTTAATCGGTAAAATTCACCAGCCCGTTCTCTTTTTTTTTTAATAGTTGAACATAAATCAGAGAATTTTGAGCTGAAAGGGGTCTTTACAGCCACCAGGTCCTATTCCCCCATTTAACAGGTAGAGAAACTGAGGCCGAGAGAGGCAAACCTGCCTAAGATGGTGGCAGAAGCAAGTCCAGCATTTCACCAATTTTGCTTTTGTAGCTTTTTCTTAGACTGTTTTCTTCCAAGATGTTCAAGGACCAGAAATCTCTCTTGGAGAACACTCAAAATAACTTCTGTTATTTTGAACCATGCCATGCTGTTCAATGCAGAGAAATAAGCAAGGAAGCAATTTCAGCCAAGATTTCTAGTCTTCTGCTTATCTGTAAGAATTCCACAGAACCACAAAGTTTATTCCACCTCTTTGAAATGAATAAATCCTGAAACTGGTTAAAACCAGAAGAGACAAAGAAACACTGTTGACCCTATTCTGGATCCCTAAACCTATATTCGCTTATGATACAAATCGTTTCTTTCCCATCAAATAGGAGAGAGAAAAAAATTATAAGAGTGACAAAGAAAAAGTGTTTTTCAGAAACTCAACTGCATTTTCATCATAGCACACAAAAATGTTCTCACCATTTTCTTAACAATATAAGAAATTACAGGGTCGTGGACTTACTGTAAGACTTTGGCCAGCAGCTAACTTCTGTGCTTTCAGGTTTTCTCAACTATCAAGTGGGAAGACTAATTGTACCAAATGTTTGCAAAAGAGAATAAAACCTTGGGTGTTTTGATGTGCACAGTGTGTAGTTAGCAATAGTGATAACAACAGGAGGAGGAGCTGGAATGTATCCACTACCTGCTAAGTGCTCTTTGAATTGTGCATTGTTCTCCATGAATATTATCTCATTCTGACAACAAAACTTTAATGCAGGTGCTGCTGTCCCCAAGTTACAGATGGAGGATCCAAGGCTCAGAGAGGCTGGGTTTACTTACTTGAGGTCACTGAGCTAGTCAGTACCAGGACTGAAATTCCTGCCCAGGTCTGGGTGGCTCCAAAACCCTTTACTACATCAATGCCCTGTGCAAGATGACCCTCCCTTCTGAGTCTTCTTAAATAAGATAATTAATCTGACAGGTTATATTTTTATTTCTTTTAAGCTTTCCCAAAATCATAAGAGTCTTGGACCTAGGAAGAGCCTTCAGAGATGGCCTAGTCTCGTTCTTTTTTTTTTTTTATGTATTTATTTATTTATTTATTTATTTATTGCTTA